GGGGGGGGGGGGGGGGGGGGGGGGGGGGGGGGGGGGGGGGGGGGCAATGCTTGCCGCGTATTGCCGATGTAGTCTACGCGAGCACAAGCCATAAGAGTTGCAGTTCCGTCAAGTCGTGAACACTAGGCATCAAATCAAGGCCATAATACCATACATGTCGGCACAGTCCAAACAAAGTAGCGCCACCCACCAGCAGCAATATTCAATAGTTCCGGCAGAAGCAACATCAACCACGATATGGCACTGAGGCCGAGAAGCCTTTCGTTCCTGACGTCAGCTGACCTGGCTGTCCCCCGCGGTCGCCGCCGCCGCCGCCACTGCTGCCCTTCATCCCCGCTGTCCCCTCGCTGCTGCTCTCCCCGGCAGCACCAGCGTCCCCACCACCGCCAACGCTGCCGCCACCGTCGCCACTTCCGCCGCCGCTCCCGCCGCCGCTACGCTTTTCCCCGGCGGCCGTGGCCGAAAACGTGTCCTGCTGCCCCGTTCCGTCGCCGCCGGCTCCATCCAGATTTGACGGGAGTTTCACGTCCTGATGTCGGGGTGCGGAGCAGTTAAGAGTCGTCGAAGGCGGTCACCAAGATGCACACCGTCCGCTCGTTTTGTTCTCTACACAAGGCCAGCAAACGGCGGTTCGGATCCTAACCGACCCGGCTGGCGCCGAGCCTGGACAACATCGAGTGTGCTGGGATCTGTACAAGAACCTGGCGGTGAAGAAATACTTCAGGTTGAAGAATCTGAAGTCGTGAGAACTACTGTAGCACACATTTGAGATGATGCCTGGATACGAATTCCGAAAGTACAATAAGGCAGTGGCTACTGGCAGCCCACAGAGGAGTTGCAAACACTGAGTCTCCATCCAAACTGGAACTTCTCTTTAGACTAGTGGACAAGTTCTCTATTCATCCCCCCCGCCCTACGCCCCCCGCCCTACACACTCAACGCGAAAAATTGTCGTGGCCGGAACAACAAGGGGAGGCTCACCGCCAGGTACGACCCCAGGCACGAGAGCGACAAGATGTCGCCACCCCCGTCGGGTGAGTGGATCTCGAGCGGCGTCGGGATGACGTCGTCCGTCCGCAGCTGGTCCAGCTGTTGGCTCCACGAGTTCCGCGAGCCGCCGATCGAAGACGCCGCGGCGAAAGCCGCCGCCGAAACCGCCGCCCCCTCTCTACCAACCCCCCCCCC